TTAATGGGTTATGGTCTGGGCTCTGAGGTGGCCAATCCATGTGTGAAAATGATGGCCTCATGCTCCCTGAACCACTCTTTCACAATTCGAGCCCGATGAAACCTAACATTGTCATCTTGGAATATGCTCGTGCCATCAGGGAAGATGGAATAACCTGGTCCTTCAATATATTCAGGTAGTCAGCTGACCTCATTCTTGGAGCACATCCTGTTGCTGAACCTAGACCTGACCAACTACAGCAACCCCAGATCATAATACTGCCCCCACAGGCTTGTACAGTATGCACTAGACATGATGGGTGCATCACTTCATCTGCCTCTCTTCTTACCCTGATGCACCATCACTCTGGAACAGGGTCCATCTGAACTCATTAGACCAGTTTTTAATAATGTGTTGGACAGTTCTTAACCCAGTTTTAGTCACTTCTACAATCTCCTTAGATGTTTTCTCTGCTTAATGCATGCCAATGATCTGACCCTTCTTAAGTAGACTAACATATTTTCCACAACCCTCAGATGTGTCATTCAACAGTTTTTTTTAATAAACGAGAAGCAGCTCATTTCACTAGTTGGGGTTAAATAACCTGTTGCCAGATGAAAGATAATCACCCATGCAGTCATTCCCCGATAGGATGCTCCTTCGTATTTGCTTAGTTAAATCCAGGTGGCGACTTGTTTTTTGGACAGGCGGTGTACACTCGATGCACACCCTCAAGTCCTTGAACCTGTTGGGCTAAAGGTGAAAATTTAAAACAGCTGTGAGTTTGAACTCAGATGTGAGGTCAGAGGTGAATGGTGCTCTGGTTGTCAGTCATATGTGGGAATGCATTCATTATCTTCTCTAAGAAAGTGGAGTGTACGCTCTATCAAGGTGGATAATATGTCAGGGTTCAGCCTGCACACACACACACACACACACACACACACACACACACACACACACACACACACACACACACACACACACACACACACACACACACACACTAGACAATTATTTCCAACACTGCCAGTCTCTCCACCATCACTTGACAATGATATGCTACAACCATATCATTATAGTGGAAGGTGTTGAATACATCCTTCTTTCCCCGTGGGGAGGAAGTGGATGAAGGGGAGATGGGCTCATATCAGAGTGGAGATAAGTGCATCTAACCTGAACACCGTGCTGTCTCTCCTGCATGACTCACATGGTTGACTGATTCCATTCATGACTTCATACTTACAGTACCTGCATGTACATGCACACGGATGAGTGTGATACAGTACAGAGGTCCATGCATACAGTATAAACATGCAATGATTAATAAAAACTGAAGTGGTGGTTAAATGCCAAAGTCATTCCTACAGTTTAATTACTATATTTATCAGTAAAACATCCATTCATCCAGCTTATCTGGAGTCAGGTCATGGGGGCAGTAGTCTAAGCAGAGGGGCCCAGACTTCCCTCTCCCCAGCCACTTGTGCCAGCTCCTCCGGGGGAAATCCCAAGGTGTTCCCTGGCCAGCTGAGAGACATAGTCCCTCCAGCGTGTCCTGGGTCTTCCTTTGTGTCTTCTCCTGGTTGTATGCTTATGTTTATGTTTATTTATTTGGCAGACGATTTTATCCAAAGCAACTTACAATTTATAACCTATAGGACATGTTGTGATCTGTGGGGGAAACCGGAGTACCCGGAGGAAACCCACGCATGCATGGGGAGAACATGCAACTCCATGCAGAAAGGCCGCAGCCGCAGCCGAGTTTCGAACCTGCAACCTTCGTGCTGCGAGGCAACAGTGCTAACAACTGCGCCACCATGCAGCATGTATGTGTCTGGAAAACCTCACCAGGGTGGCAGGCAAATTGACTATATGCCTGACTCACCTCAACTGGCTCCTATTGATGTGGAGGGTATACCCCATAATATACCTTCATATATATATATATATATATATATATATATATATATATATATATATATATATATATATATATATATATATGGAACAAATACTGTTCCATATAGATATCTATCTATCTATCTATCTATCTATCTCTCTCTCTCTCTCTCTCTCTCTCTCTCTCTCTCTCTCTCTCTCTCTCTCTCTCTCTGTCTGTCTGTCTGTCTGTCTGTCTGTCTGTCTATCTATCTATCTATCTATCTATCTATCTATCTATCTATCTATCTATCTATCTATCTATCAATCAGAGTCATAGGCAGCGAAGCGTCTCTGTGCAGCGCAAAAGCCCGGGTGGACAGTTTGTTTAATGTAGGGTGATCATATTTCCATTTCCAAACATGAGGACAGGGGATCTGTGCCTATGACGTCACACTATGGCAACGCCACACAACGCTGGGACCCATTTTTTGTAAGAACTAAATTAATATCAGATTCTTCCAATAAAAGGGCTCTAAAACAATAAATACTTAGCATATTTACTGCAAAATCTCATTTTTCTGCTTTACTGCTGCAACAAGGTTTTATTAATAATAAATTATAACTTTTGTTTTACTACAGCATCGGTACGCTTCCTGTGCACAGATTATCAAGGATGCTTGTTTCAGCTGTGAGATTAGACGATAGGATCAATGAAAAAATAAGTTGTCACACTGGAAACTTTCAGAGAATCCACAAATAGTGCCTTTCAAATGGTTTTGTTACTTTTAGCAAGTTTATAAAAGAAGCAAATGAGACAGCATGTCTGATAACTTAGTTTTTCATCTGATAATATTAGAACAGGTCAGTAATGTCTGAGGGGCTTTTTATAAACACTGTATAACTAATACTCCTGGAGAGGGTATGGATTACACAGAGGCTTCTGGGGAGCCCAGCTATGGGGTGGGGGGTCATTTTGCCTTGGCCCCCAAAATGTCTTGAAACAGCCCTGGGAATGTGACTGAGTTTTGAAGGTGATCTGAATTGTATCAGATGTATAAATATTACATGTGTGTAACGTATTGTTTTATACAGGTAAAAACGTGTAGTGGAGATAAATCTACCTACATTTTACTTTTCAACACTTTGTTTTGTTTTCTTGTTTTTATTTAACTATATTTTCCTGTCCTGTCTGTCCCATCTTCCTGCATCTCCTCTAAACTCTCCAGAAAAACTGCTGCCTGGATTCTTACTTTTTCACCTCATCAGTTACTTCTGAGCAGATCAAAGAGATCTCCTGACTGCAAAGCGGAGAGCGCGTTTCGATGCGTCAGTGAGGTGAAATCACCGCACCACAGGTGATGAGCTCCGCAGAGCGCTTCAGGCACAAAGAAGACAGAAAGTAGAGAACATGTGCGGACATGAACGATCGTGTGTTAATTATAGTTTTTTGGTTGCGCCACTTTGAGAATGGACCGTGCGCTGGACGCAGCAGCCTGGAGCGCTGCGCACCGATCATCGCTCTGCCGCTCTCTGCTGAAAAGAGTCCATGAATGATAATATAGTAATACAGGTAGAAAACTTTTTTCCGGCTCACCTGGATGTGTAGGATATACAGCTCCCCCATCCCTGCTCCTTGATGAAAAGCCGGACATTTTCATCAATACAAGAACCCCCAGTCCGGACATCCCGGACAGAGTGAAAAGCGGACATGTCCAGGGAAAACAGGACGTACGGTCACACTAGTTTAATATAAAGCGGGAGATTACAGATACAGTAATTTGCTCGTGCCCTTGCCCTGGGCCCTTTAGAGTTTGTGGGCCCTGGGCAATTGCCCAGTTGCCCATGTGGTTAATCCGGCCTTGAGTACCAGTGGGCACCTGCATACTCAAATATAAATGTCAACTAAATCATAACAACGATGTTAAGGACGAAAGACGAATCAATGATCTGAACATCAATTTGGGAGGGGTTAAAGCTGATTCCCGTACATTTTGGAGTTCCTCCTACAGAGAGAAAGATTTTTCACAAATCTTTTGACAACTGCCAGTGTCCTCAGGAGTGAACAACAATGTGTTCTCAGGAGTGAACAACAATGTGTTCTCAGGAGTGAACAACAATGTGTCCTCAGGAGTGAACAACAATGTGTTCTCAGGAGTGAACAACAATGTGTCCTCAGGAGTGAACAACAATGTGTTCTCAGGAGTGAACAACAATGTGTTCTCAGGAGTGAACAACAATGTGTCCACAGGAGTGAACAACAATGTGTCCTCAGGAGTGAACAACAATGTGTCCTCAGGAGTGAACAACAATGTGTCCTCAGGAGTGAACGACAGAGATCAAATGTCTCCAAATGTGCAAAAGGCTAGGCATTCCCTCAGGCCTCAGTTAGCTGGTTAAAGTTCATGGTAATTACAAGAAGAGACTTTTCTAGTTATCCTCTTTTGTCTTTTGAGGTTGTGTGGTTTGGGTTTCACTGACTAGAGGTGTTTTCTCTGCTAACAAACTGAAACTGACAATTGTGGCTAAATATACCCAAAAGCAGAGGTCAGTATGTGGAGAATACACCAACACCTCCGGTCACCTCAGTCACCCCTTCAGCAGCACGTCTGGTTCTGTTCAGAGTGAAGCTCGCTGACATGATGCTGCTCTCATCACAGCTCATTTCCTTTGTCGCCGTTGGTTATTTGCATTTGTAAATAATATGCCGGGACTTGGATGGCCCCGTGAGTAGCTCGGCTATTTTACAGGAGTGACTGACCTGTCCTTGACCACAATAAAGCATCAGACAGACTCCTGGAATGTCAAGAAAAATCCTTCCATTAACACCTTTGGAGATAAATGTCTGACATGAGCATCACTAACAAAATAGTCTCTGCAGCATAGAAGGTGGATAAATGTCACGCTGAATGTGTGAGTATTTAAGTATTACTCAAACATGACTGGAACGTATCAAGTAAACAGAGAATCGTCCATATTTTGACCCAAACATAGAGAAGCAATAAACAAGCCAGTATTTGTTCCTGAGGCTTTCAGGAGCTGGACACGCTCCATAATCGTCTGTGCCCTACCTTCTAGTCCTCTCTCATGCTGCATGACTCATGACGTTGTTTCCTGATTGGTTCTGTGCCTCTGGTTTCCAGGACGACCACACCATGTTTTTCCAGTTTGGCCCTTCCATCGAGCAGCAGGCATCCGTCATGTTGAACATTATGGAGGAGTATGACTGGTACATCTTCTCCATCGTCACCACGTACTACCCTGGTCACGAGGACTTTGTCAACAAGGTAATAAACATAAATTAAAATGAATATCAGATATAATGTGTGTGCCACGTGTCTCCAGCTTTACAGTAAATAAACTGATCTGGACAAAATATTGAAGTTATTATTTCCATTAGACATCGAGTTTATATGCTGGAAATTTTTGGTGTTTTTGTTTAAAGGGGAAGTAGCTGGTTTGCTCGCTTTTAGCACCCCCTAGTGTCCGTCTGTAAAGCAAAACGCATCTCTTCACTGTGCATTTGTCTTTTAAACACGGCAATCTAAATCCTGAAACATCTCCCAGCCTTCCTTAGTGTCTACTAGGGCTGTAGCGAAGCCTCGACGAAGTCGACGGCTCGATTCTAAAAATTTGTCGACGTCAGATCCGGAAGTCGACGCACCGCGCCCACTTGTTGCATCCCCAGGAGTTTGTAAATAGAGGAAGAATCTGCCTGTTTTTCCTCTAGTTCGCCCTCTTCTCCGCCTTCACTAACATCTCCGCCAAATACCGAAGACCCGGAACAACGTCCGTCCACTACTAGATTATTTTCCTGTTTTGCCCGCCTTCGTCTCCCGGCAACGGACAACAACTTCCGGGGTCAGATGCGCTGCTTCGTGTCTATCGCAGATGTAGAACATCACCGGGAGGGCTTCTCCCTTCATTAAGGAGCTTCTTTCAGACATGAGGAGAGCTGTTTTGGTGGTAGCAGTCTCTCCTCCGTGCTGGTCTGTTTGCTGCTGGGTGTTTTTGGTTTATTTAAACTTGGTAACTTGAACTTAACGTTGGTAAAGCTACTGTTAGCATCTTCGCTAACAGCTTCTTGCGTTGGGATAAGCCGTTACGTTTTGGTTTAGAGTTCATCTTTTTTGTGGTGTAGATCTCCCTTTTATTACATTTAGAGTGTTGTGGGTTTTCGGTTTAGTGTAAAATATCACCTGAGTTTGGTTTAACCCGTAAGACCACTCGCCTCACGCACATAAGTGACCAAAACAAAGCAGCATGGAGACACTCCATCTTCAACCACCTCTCAGGCAGCAGCCTGCACTCCCAAGTTCTACATGTCACCAGAACATAACCAACCGCAACACAATAAACGCAGTGTTATACAAAATGGAAGGCCTGTAGTGTTTATTCTCTTACAGTAAGAATTTATCAATTTTTTTGAGGAATTTATTTGAGATTTTCTGGTTTTTGTTAATTGTGCAATAGAAAAATAATCATTAGATTAATTTTCTAAATAGTCATTAGAATAGTCGACTATTCGATAAAATAATCGTCAGAATAATCGTTTTAAAAATAATCGTTTACCCCCAGCCCTAGTGTCTACATGAGTGATTAATCACTAAACAAAACAAATCAGCTGTGTTCATGATCTTAATGCAGGAAATATGCTGGAAGCAGACTGCAGCGCCAGGTATGTCAGCTCAAGTCTCAGCAGAGCGGCTCGCCAGTTTGAAGTCGCAGGTGGAATATTCTGGCCACAGGGGACGATGGGGTGGGGTGGCTTTTCATTAACCCTGTAAACGGTTATTTTAGCACACACTGGCTCTAGAAAATGATGAAAAATTTTGAAAAGTTAGCAAATTATCTAAAAAAAATATGTTTTTGTTTATGTTTATGTATTTAGCAGGCGCTTTTGTCTAAAGCGACTTACAAGTGATAATCGGCATATTGCCCTTGAGGCTAACAACAACAATAACAACAACAACATTGACATCAGTCATGGAGAGCAGGGAACAAGGAGTGGACAGTAGAGGGGGGGATGGGTGCAGGCAAGGTACTCTCTGAAGAGCAGGGTCTTCAGGAGTTGCTTGAAAACTGAAAAGGAAGCTGCAGTTCTGGTAGTGCTTGGAAGGTCATTCCACATTTGTGGAATGATGCAAGAGAAGAGTCTGGATTGTCCTGAGCGTGGTGTAGACACCGCTAGCCGACGATCCTGTGATGACCGGAGCGGCCGGGCCGAGACGTAAGCCTTTGCAAGAGGATTCAGGTAGATGGGAGCCGTGCCATCTCGGACTTTGTATGCTAGTGGTAGCTATTTGAATTTGATGCGTGCTGCTAGCGGTAGCCAGTGGAGCTCAATGAACAGAGGGGTGATGTGTGCTCTTTTTGGCTGATTGAAGACCAGACACGCCGCTGCGTTCTGGACCATTTGAAGAGGTCTCACAGTACTGCCTGGAAGACCAGTTAGAAGGGCATTGCAGTAATCGAGGCGGGAGATGACAGTAGATTGCACCAGGAGCTGGGTGGCATGTTGTGTTAGGTATGGTCTGATCTTTCGTATGTTATACAGCGCAAAGCGGCATGAACGAGCAACAGAGGCAACATGATCTTTAAAGCTCAGGTGTTCATCAATCACAACACCCAGATTTCGAACTACCATTGAAGGAGACAGAAATAGGAAGTCATTTCGGATTGAGATATTGTGCTGTATAGATGGTTTTGCTGGGATGACAAGTAGTTCTGTTTTAGAGAGTTTGAGTTGGAAATGGTGGGATTTCATCCATTTTGATATGTCACAGAGACAGTTCGATATTCGTGCAGAGACAGTGTGGTCGTCCGGTGGAAATGACAGATAGAGCTGGGTGTCGTCTGCATAGCAGTGGTAGAAGAAGCCATGTGATCGAATGATCTCACCCAGTGAGGTGGTGTATATGACAAAGACAAGAGGTCCTAGTACTGAGCCCTGGGGAACTCCTGTGGCAAGATGGTGCACGGTAGAGGATTGTCCAAGCCAAGATACACTGACAAAAGGAAGCCATGGTTGACAGTGTCAAATGCTGCCGATAAGTCGAGCAGGATAAGCACCGAGGATTTGCCAGTCGCTCTAGCTTCTTTTAAGGATTCTGTCACTGCTAACAGAGCAGTTTCAGTGGAGTGGCCCTTTTTGAACCCAGATTGGTAAGGGTCAAGCAGACAGTTTTGTGAGCGGTATTCTGTGATCTGCTTGAAAGCCACCCTTTCAATGATTTTGGACTGAAAAGGGAGGAGAGAGATAGGTCAGTAGTTCTCCACATGATTTGGAGGAAGAGATGTTTTTTTTTTAGCAGCGGTTTAACCTGAGCATGCTTGAGAGAGGTATATCTAACTCTGATTTAGCCTTTGAACACAGGTTTTAAATAACTTTTATTTTGCAAATGTAAGATTTTTGTAAAATCCACTAAAGTTTTTACTCTCCAATTATGACCTTATCGTCATTAATTCCAGATAAGTTGGAATGTTGGCTCTGCCCTTATTTATGTTTAGTCTTTTTCTTATTTACAATTGCCTGATAGATCTGAGGAGGGTTGATATTGTGTAGTTGGGTCATTTTAAAACATCTCCTGCTCTCAAAATTCATAAAGCATGGCCGAGTTTGCTGCAGTGAGTAGACTTTTTTTATTGCTTTAAGTGAAACGGCAGATTAGCTGAATATGTCCTTTTGAACGCCGCCACTTACCGAGGCTTCAGCCTGCTTATCTCCAGGGCAGATAAGGACCCTTCATAAGTGATAGCATGATATCCTGAGTAACTCTGAACTTCAGACACGTGTGAGAAGCAGGAAAAGGTCTGAACACCAGCCAGTCAGATCTAATAATAACATCAGAGCAGTGATGGTGTCTTTGCTTTGAACCGAGTTCAAGAAGCAGTTTGGTTTAGAGGACAAAAGTATTTATTTAAATGTGAAAGAAGATACTTTTACATTTTCTTCAGAGCAGCTTTTCACAGCAGTCAGATTAACTTTAAATCAGATGGCACGCTGAGGTTTGAGCACCACAGGTCTGATCACAGTCAAACAGCCTCCAGAAGGCTTAAAGCTACAGAATAGAGCAAAGACCTCTGAAAGGTCACCATGCTGTGGTGTTGTGTAACAAAAACAAAACTCATAAATGAAGAGACAAATGTCACTTCATTTTGCTGGTTTTCTGAGACTTTATCCATTCTGCTCCCAGAAAAACGTTGTTTTATTCCGACTGCAAGACAAACAAACCCAAACAGGAAACCCTCCGTCTGTCTTTGCCAGAAACACATTCTCACCTGCACAAATCTGGCTTTTATTAAAATCATATGCTGGCAAATAAACACATTTGCACCAATATGGACACGGTTGTTGTTTCTTCAGCCCTGCAGAGGATTTAAAACCAGTGAAGAGTTCTGTCTGAAGGTGTTCCTCACATCTATCTCATCTGAAAACACAGAGCAGCCCCTTGGAGGTCTCTGTGATTGGTGATTGTTGAGTAATCAGAGTAAACCTCCCCACCTGTTTATAGGAGTAACCGGTTGGAATAGAAATCATGCAAAAACACATAATTCTAGACGTTCCCAAAATTATGCTTCTTTATTTTCAGTGACCTGTTACATAAGGCATTATGGGTAATATAGCTCTGATTTAGCTTTTGACCAGCCTGTTTAATCTAAAACAAGCCAACATTATTTTGTTATGATAGTTTTATTTCCTATATTGTGTTTTCTTAAGCAGCCCCGTTACACGTCTGACTCCATGGGTGAAGCTTTAGGAGATTAAAGCATTAATTACAGGATTCTTACCGGTGTTTGAAGAAATTACCACGATATATTATTTAACAAAATTATCTTTGTTTTTATGCAACAAATAAAACAAAAGCATGCTGCTTCCATCTCTGAAAGGATGTGCAGATAAGTTGTGTTGAAAGCTGGGAGCTGAAGGAGGACGAGATGTGTGAGAGTTTTTGTTCCAGTATCTGTCCTTCACAGCTCCAGCCTACACGCAATCACGTCTTTTTGTTTTTTGACTTTTTTTTTTTTCTATCTTCGAACCAGATTCGCAGCACCATCGAGAACAGCTTTGTGGGTTGGGAACTAGAGGAAGTCCTCCTGCTGGACATGTCAATGGATGATCATAATCATGGAGACTCCAAGATCCAAAACCAAATGAAGAAGCTGCAGAGTCCCGTCATCCTCCTCTACTGCACCAAAGAGGAAGCCAGCACCATATTTGAAGTGGCACACTCCGTAGGGCTCACGGGCTACGGCTTCACCTGGATCGTCCCCTCGCTGGTGGCCGGGGATGCAGACCACGTTCCTTCAGTCTTCCCCATAGGTATTCACACCTCATGCTTCTTCATAACAGAAATGATGCAAGCAGCTAAATGAGCTGCCAATCCTAAAATGTGCTGCTGTTGATCAATGTTATTATCATCTATCTAGGGTCTACTCTGTGGTTTAATCCATCCCACTCCGTGTAAATGAATACTTGTATATTTTAAATAAAAAAGCCCAACATTTTACCATTTATTTAAATAAGATGATGCAATGATCCTCTGTTGGAAATAACCAAAATAATGTTATTCCTGTGTGTCGTAAATGATATGTGTGCATTTTGATTTAAATGTTATTGTTTATCTTTAACATTATTTGCTAAAACAAGAAGTGAAAGGACTCCACCAGGACTCATCTTCTATGAGTGACAGCACACACCAGTGGTGCGAGGAAAGCAGATGTTTAATAGTTTAAGCAAATAAAACTGAAATCATGAAAAAAATCTAATAAAATGTTAACTTTTAATTATTCTTTATGTTTTAATAATGTTAGGAATAGGATAGACGTGGAAACTGTAAATGCAGACAAAGAAAATTAGCAAAATATGGTTATAAACCAGTTTTTACTTTTCATTTCATTTCATGGGTCTGCCTTTTCCTAAAAGTAGACCGTGAGCAACTTTCATAACTAATGGCTTCCTCCCTCTTTGTTGCCTAGAAACAATTAAGTTCTATTTTAATGCAGAAACAACCAACGCCGCAAACACAGTCAATGTGATGCTTTTATTTTAACAAAGTAAAACACTTCTCCGTAGGGTGGCTGAGCTCTCCCTTAGAGATAGGGTGAGAAGCTCGGTCATCTGGGAGGGGCTCGGAGTAGACCCGCTGCTCCTCCACATCGAAAGGAGTCAGATGAGGTGGGTTGGGCATTTAGTTAGGATGTCTCCTGGACGCCTCCCTGATGAGGTTTTGGCCAGGGGGTGTCTTGGAATTTCTCAGAAGGAGCTGGCCCAAGTGGCTGGGGAGAGGGAAGTCTAGGCCTCTCTGCTTGTTGGCTGCGTCCTCCGCGACCTTATAAGTGGCCGAAATAGAAAGGATGGAAAGATGCAAACATGAGACTTTTTTAATGTCTCTGATCTGCAGAGATTTACTGATTCTTCAGATTTAGCATTTTGCATTTGTTAAAAAACAAACAAACAAACAAACAAAATAATCATGTATTGCTTGTCATCCCAGCAAAACCATCCATTCAGCACAATATCTCAATCCAGAATGACTTCCTATCTCTGGCTCCTTCAAAGGCAGTTCGAAATCTGGGTGTTGTGATTGATGAACACCTGACCTTTAAAGATCATGTTGCCTCTGTTGCCCGTTCATGCCGCTTTGCGCTGTACAACATACGTAAGATCAGACCATACCTAACACAACATGCCACCCAGCTCCTGGTGCAATTTACTGTCATCTCCCGCCTCGATTACTGCAATGCTCTTCTAACTGGTCTTCCAGGCTGTACTGTGAGACCTCTTCAAATGGTCCAGAACGCAGCGGCGTGTCTGGTCTTCAATCAGCCAAAAAGAGCACACATCACCCCTCTGTTCATTGAGCTCCACTGGCTACCGCTAGCAGCACGCATCAAATTCAAATTGCTAACACTAGCATACAAAGTCCGAGATGGTCCGGCTCCCATCTACCTGAATCCTCTTGCAAAGGCTTACGTCTCGGCCCGGCCGCTCCGGTCATCACAGGATCGTCGGCTAGCAGTGCCTACACCACGCTCAGGACAATCCAGACTCTTCTCATGCATCGTTCCACAAATGTGGAATGACCTTCCAAGCACTACCAGAACTGTGGCTTCCTTTTCTATTTTCAAGAAACTCCTGAAGACCCTGCTCTTCAGAGAGCATCTTCTAAACTAGCACCCTCCCTGCACCCGTCCCCCCTCTCTACTGTCCACTCCTTGTTCCCTCCTCTCCATGACTGATGTCAATTTGTTGTTGTTACTATTGTTGTTAGCCTCAAGGGCAACATGCCGATTATCACTTGTAAGTCGCTTTGGACAAAAGCGTCTGCTAAATACATAAACATAAACATAAACATATTTTTGCCATTTTAAGGCCTATGAGTAGCCTGGCAAGCCAGACTAAATAAATGTATTATTTACATTATCATTCTTTGCAAAGCAAGAATTTGGTCTAGTTCACTAGGCTAGCATATGAGTGCTTTAATCTTAAAAGGTTTTGCACATGTGGCTAAAAGTTTGGACACTACAGCTGCTCGCTGATCCCTGTCAGCTTAAAACTGATTTCTAAGAAAGTTAAAAAGTCTAATTTTTAGACATTTTATCTTATTTTTAGTCTAAAAAGAAAAAAAGTCTCTAGAAAAAAAAGTATTATTTAAAATAAGGTAAAAGTTCTTAAATAGGATCCAGATTGGCTTGGTCTGAGTAAAAAAATAATCTCCCAATGGGCTAGAAAGGCTAGAATTCTCTAAACTAGCTAATGAACCTAAAATTGTATCATTTTACTAGTTTTAAGATTTCTGCCTAAACAACTTTTGCTTACTTCATTGGCAGATTTGTTTTACTCAAAACAAGAAAATCTGGATTGAATCTAAGAATAATTGCCTTATTTTAAGTAATGCTGTTTTCTAGAGAATTTATCTTCTTTTTAGACTAAAAATAAGCCAAAATGTCTAACAATCAGGATTTTTCTTGAACTTAATCAGAAATCAGGTTTTGCAGTGTTTCTTTTTTTATTGGGGGGGGGGGGGGGGGGGGGGTACATTTCCTGACCATTTGAGTTAGATTATTTTCTACAAACAGTGATGATATGATATGCTTTGATGTGACTATCAGTTTTAAATAATCCTGAATAATCTCAGGTCTCTGTGGATTTCCTGGAATCAAGGTCTTGGTGCTGGCATACAAGGCCTTACATGGAACTGCTCCAGCATATCTTGGAAACCTTTTGCATAGGCATGCCCCCTCGCGGGCACTTCGCTCAGCCGGCAGGGAGCTGTTGATTGTTCCACGCACTAAGTGCAGGTCACGGGGGGACCGTGCGTTCTCTGTGTTGGCACCTGCACTTTGGAACCAGTTGCCTGTGGTGGTGCGTCAGTCACCCTCATTGGGGGTTTTTAAGACTCACCTTAAGACCCATTTTTTTGTCAAGGCTTTTCAGGTTTAGCCAATTTTACCCAGTTTCGATGCCCCGGCCTCTTAATCTTTTTCTGGATTTTATTTTTTGCTTTTACTCTCCTCTTTTAATTGATTTTATGCTGTTTTTACGATTGTTATATTTTACTCTGATGGTTTTATGTTTTTATTGTGTTGTGTTCAGCACCTTGGGCATCTGCAGTGGTCGCAGAAGGGGCTTTATAAATAAATGAAATGAAAAATTAAATGACATCCTGGATGAGATGTTCCTCCAGGTCATCAGATGACGGGAACTGTCCAGCGAACCTGTCAGAGCTCATTTCCAGCTGCTTATCTAAGTTTACTCACCGTCCTCATTCCCTTTTCCCGACACATCTACAGTGCAGGTCGCAAACATGGAGACACAAGCCAGCCATGAACAACATGACCTGAGAAGCCGTTCGGGTCTGAGAGATCCACGTAGACATTTGATAGCTAGAAGTATTCATGCTTAGAAAGCCAAGTGTAGTGAACTGATGGTCTAGACTCCTGCTCTCATCTTTGTTTTACCTGTGGAGCCATTTAAATGTGAGCTGTTGGGCTCAGCTTTGAGCGATCACATCAGTCCTATTGGAGAAACTGCTCATTTGGCTTTTGTTGCCAAATGCCTTCATTTCTGTGTACCTGCCTGCCCTCTGGGATTTCTTTCACAGCACTCTGCCTGCCATTTTCTGCATCCTCCCTCTTTATCCTCACACCGTTCTGTGCCCCCCCTCTCATTCCTCCCTTTCTCTCACCTCGTCTCTCCCTCTCTCTTCCTCTCAGGGCTTATCTCTGTGTCATATGACGAATGGGACTACAACACCGAGGCCAGGGTGCGTGATGCAGTAGCTGTCATTGCCACAGCCACCTCCACCATGATGTTGGACCGAGGGCCACACACCCAGCTTAAGTCAAGCTGCCTCGGGACGCCTGACAAAAAAGGCTCCAGCGTCAGCTACTCCAAGGAGATCTTGAAGTGAGTCAATGCTGGCACGGTGGAGACGGCCAGCGAAGGGGCTGGTGCATATAAACAAAGATAGGTCAACCAGAGTTCAGCAGCTTCAACTGGTCTCAGTGGTGCTTTCAGGATTAAACCGATGATGGATCAAACAGTCTGTCAATGCTACAAATCACAGGCTGAATAAGTTAGCGCTTCCAGAGGCATTATTATTGTTGTTGTTGTAATTCTTCTTCTTCTTCTTCTTCTTCTTCTTCTTCTTCTTCTTCTTCTTCTTCTTCTTCGTCTTCGTCTTCGTCTTTGTCTTTGTCTTCGTCTTTGTCTTTGTCTTCTTCTTCTTCTTCTTCTTCTTCTTCTTCGTCTTCGTCTTCGTCTTTGTCTTTGTCTTCGTCTTTGTCTTTGTCTTCTTCTTCTTCTTCTTCTTATTATTATTATTATTATTAATGTTGTTGTTGTTGTTATTTTTGTTATTGTTATCATTATTATTATTATCAATGTTGTTGTTGTTATTTTTGTTGTTGTTGTTATTATTTTTATTATTATTAATGTTGCTGCAATTCTTCTTTTTCTTCTTCTTTTTTTTCTTTTCTTTTTTTCTTCTTCTTTTTCATTTTCATTTACTTCTTTTCTTTTTTTCTTCTTCTTTTTCTTTATCTTCTTTTTCTTTTTCTTTTTCTTCTTCTTTTTTCTTTTTCTTCTTCTTTTTTTTCTTTTTTCTTTTTCTTCTTCTTTTTCATTTTCATTTACTTCTTTTCTTTTTCTTTTTCTTCTTTTCTTTTTCTTCTTCTTTTTTTCTTTTTTGTCTTCTTCTTCTTCATCTTCTTTATCTGTTTATTCTTCTTCTTCTTCTTATTATTATTATTATTGTTATTGTTGTTGTTATTTCAGGACTTTTTTCATGTTCTGCATTCTGGAGACTAATTTTAGTCAAAGATATTTATCAGATATCAACAAGGTGTTTGTGAGTGAGCATTTAATGCTGCACAGCTGGGAAAGTCTGTTGATGTTTGATGCAGCAGTTGTTTGTGTTGACTTTTAAAGCCATCGATATTGTGTCTAGCATTAGTTGTTATCTATAGCTGATAGTAACTTGACAATGTCCATCAAGAAACATCTTTGAGCACATTTAGTGGTTCTGCTATGAGCCTTTTACCTTATGCAGTATTCTTTTTAAAGAGCAGGTTCACAGAGAAACCATAGCTTACTTGCAATTTTTGAAAATGATCAGTCACTCTGAGTTTTTCATGCAGGCTGAAGATGATAAAAGTCTTCTACACCTGCGTTATAGCTTCTGATAGAAAAAGGTAAAACTCTAGGATTAGAAAATCCTGGCAGATCTACGTCACGCTGTCGCTTAACATTCATGGACTCACATCTCGACTTGCAGCGGAGAAGGCTGTTGTTGTTTTAGTGTTCAGGAAACGGTAGAAAACATCCTTACTAGTAGAAGCTAACCATTAGCATTAGCAACTCCACCACACTGCAGAACTCTTCCAGGCTTGTATTATTTGTGGAGATAAAACATCACTGTTGCAGAGCAAACAGAGCCAGTGGTAGAGTCATGTTGCTGTTAGCCAATCAGAGGCGAGATGTCCAAATATCAGGAACTATGACTCCAAATCCTGCCGTCTGCTGCCACTTTCTCCTCCAGATGACTTTTACATCCTCAAACAGGCGCACCAGAGCTTTTTTTTCACTAGAGTACAACTTACAAGGCATTCATTCCAACTAGAGACCATTAAACATGAGTGACTGGACCTTTAAAAGACTCCTCTGCCATTCTGGAGTGTGTTTCCGAGAAAAGTCACAAACAACTACTGCTTCACCTGCTGTAGATGATTTAAAACATTTGTGCAGAAAAGCGGATTGTCTTCCCATCCAGCTTTAGGGAACAGCTTTTCCCATTCAACTCAAACTAGAAACTTTACCACCAAAGAGAAAGGAGCTCATTTTGAACAAAACAAACCAAACAAAAAGGGAAAATAAATAAATGTGACTAAAGAAAAAGCAAGAACCAACTTGAGGAAATAACTGTGTGGCACCAGTCTTTAATGTTGATCCAGATACTCCACCCAGCCTTGACGGAGGTGTGGATGCTGATCAGTTTGTGTCTTGGGTCTGTGATGGTGATCAGCTGTGAGCAGAAACACCTTTAAACCAGATGTAGACATTAGTTTAGCTTTTACCCAGATCTCCTCTCATCTACTAAATCCTTAACCCACAGGCATCTTTAAATGAAAACAACCTCCTGGTGGTGCTTTTTTGGCACACCCCAGAGCAAAACATTCAATAATTAATCCTCATCTAACAGCGTAGGGCATGCTTTTACTGTTCACATTGATCAGAGATTTCACAGCTAATTGATCGCCCCGGGACAACTGGATGTGTAAAAAACCCAACCAAAGTGTGGGGTTGTCTGCTGCACCAGAAAATACAAAACGTACTATATGCAGCAAAGCTTGGTTAAAAATAAACTTTTGTTTATGATTTAATTAAAGTCATCATTTGTTATGAACAGAGTATTTTGCTTCTAGTTATTATTCCTCGAATGAAATCCTTTAGCTGTTTCCATCGCTGTCAGAGTGGGTTTGAGGAATGCAGCCAGATGGGGAAAACATTACACAACCTCTGCTGCCACTGCAGCATCATTATACAGGTGGAGGTTGATGTATTACTGGGAATTTTTGCTCGTTCCGTTCAGAGAAAATCAGGAGCACTTAGGCGTGTCATTTTGGATTCAGCCACCAACAGCACAGAGATAACAATACGACTTGAGCCATGAATACCCGAGTCCCCGCAGGACATCAGACACGGGGTTGGCTCTCAATCACCCGTCAGCCACACACCTGTGTGTGTGTGTGTGTGTGTGTGTGTGTGTGTGTGTGTGTGTGTGTGTGAGTGTGTGTGTGTGTTCTTTGGCCAGGCTTTCCATTTTCCTCCATCCCACTGAGGAAAGGTGGAGAACGTGGATGCTGCTGACTCCAGGGCCTAACAAGAGCCTGAGAAACACACACACACACACACACACACACACTAGCGCTACACACTTAATTCTTCCTGTTCCATCCCCCCCACGCCCCCAGAGTCAAACGCAATAATAAGGCTATATGTCTGTGTGCGGCCCTGTATAGCTAGGCCACTGGGGGCTGCATGCATGCTACATTAGCATGACATCCTGTCAGTGCTGATAGGCAGAGATGGGAGGCTCTCACATTTGTTTAGGACTGCTGACCTTATGGGACACAAACAGAAATATGCACAACCGCAGCCTAGCAGTGAAAGTAACAGAGCTCCAGAGATTCTCTGTTGTTTCCTGTCTGACAGAAGGGACAGGAACAAAATGACAGTGAAAAAATGTGCTCTGAGGGGTTTTCAACTCAATTCTATTCAAAAATACTTTATTAATCTCAGAGGGAAATTGGTTGCTGTAGTAGCTCAGAATAATAATAATTATCAAGTAATCAAAGAGTTGTTGTATATTACAATGGCTGTTGGCAGGAAGGATCTCCAGTAGCGGTCAGTGTTGCAGCCAAACTGAAGAAGCCTCTGACTGAAGACACTCTTCCGTTGTCGGACAGTCTTGTGAAGAGAATGCTCAGGGTTGTCCATCATTTTCTTGATTCTCTGGAGAATCCTTCTTTGCATTATCTCCTCCAGCTGTTCCACAATCGTCCCCAGAACAGAACCAGCCTTTTTTATTAGGCTGTTGAGCCTTTTCAGGTCCCTGCTTCTGATGCTGCTACCCCAACAGACGATGGCTGAAGAGATTACACTCTCAACAACAGACTTGTAGAAGATCTGCAGCATCTTGCTACAGACATTGAAGGACCTAAGCATCCTCAAGAAGTGCAGTCTGCTGTGTCCCTTCTTGTAAACGGCTTCGCTGTTCTTTCTCCAGTCCATTCTGTTGTCCAGGTGAACTCCAAGGTATTTGTATTGCTCAACCACCTCCACTTCTTCTCCCATGATGGAAACAGTGTTTGACTCCACTCTGTTTCTTCTGAAATCTAAAATCATCTCCTTTGTTTTGTTCACGTTCAAGGTCAGATGATTGTTTCCACACCATGCCACAAAGCGCTCCACCAGCTCTCTGTACTCAGCTTCCTGTCCATCTCTGATACACCCGACAACTGCAGAGTCATCGGAGTATTTCTGTAGATGACACGTCTCTGACTTGTACTGGAAGTCTGAGGTGTACAGGGTGAAAAGGAATGGTGAGAGTACAGTCCCCTGTGGTGCTCCAATGCTACTGATTGCCTGGTTTGATGTGCAGTTCTTCAGTCTCACAAATTGTGGTCTGTTTGTCAGGTAGTCTTTAATCCAGGTGATAGTTGAGGCCCCCACCTGTGTCTTCTGGAGTTTCTGGCAAAGTACATCAGGCTGAATTGTGTTAAATGCACTGGAGAAATCAAAGAACATGACCCTCACAGTGCTGCCTGCTTTGTCCAGATGACAGTGGGCTGGTTGAAGCAGTTGGATGATGGCATCTTCATCTCCAGCTCCATGGCGATAAAAAAACTGCAGCGGGTCCTGATATGTCCTAGTTTGCTCATTCAGGTGGACCATCAGGAGCCTCTCCAGGACCTTCATGATGGATGTTAGGGCAACCGGTCTGTAGTCGTCATTGACTGATGGGCGAGTTTTCTTTGGAACTGGAACAAGGCAGGATGTCTTCCACAGGACTGGGACCTTCTCCTGGGTCAGGCTGAGGTTGAAGAGGTGCTGCAGAATCCCACAGCGCTGCTCTGCACAGGCCTTCAGTACTCTGGGGCTGACACCATCTGGACCTGCAGCCTTCTTCCTGTTCAGTCTCTCCAGCTGCCTCTTCACCTGACTTCTAGAGACAGATAGGTGGGAGGGGGAGGTAAATGGGGCAGCAGCATCTCCTGACTTGGTTGAAGACAGATTTATAGAACCAGAAGAGTCCATGACTGCGTTAGAGGACAAAAGAGCTGGCATGTGATAGGAAAATGTTGGATCAGAGGAGGATGGGATGTCTGATTGGCTGGGGAAAGGCGAGGAGGATGCTGGGTTTGTTCCTGAACTGAACCTATAGAAGAACTTGTTCAGTTCATTGGCTGTGTCCAGGCTGCCATCTGTGCAATCCTTCCTCTGCTTGAAGCCTGTGATCTTCTTCATCCCTGACCAGACATCTCTGATATTGTTCCTCTGTAGTTTGTTCTCCAGCTTCTTCCTGTATGCCTCCTTGCTGTCTCTGATCTTGATCTTCAGTTGCTTCTGTATACTCCTCAATAATTCCCTGTCTCCTTCTGTCATGAGCCGGGGTGAGTACTCTTCCCATCTTCACCATC